CTCCTTGTATGCCAATAGCCATAGACGCCGAGGCTTATTTATTTAAATAAAAAAACATATTTATATAATGATTCATTTCATAATATACTTTATATTCACCTGGTGTACAAGTACAAATTTATCAAAGGGTCGGGACACACAGAATGTACAATAAACGTACAAATTCCGACTTTCTCATGGTTTTCAGCGCACTGCGTGCTCGAAAAGCACAACGACCACACAAGAAACACTGTGGCCGTACTGTAAGTCGCTGCAAAACAATTAAGTACATTAATAATTATTATGCTTTGATACTTTAAAATGTAATATTTTTACGAATCCGTCAAACTTCTATCGACGGAAAATAAAATAATAACCTGACCACGACAAATACAATCACGTAATCGGTAATCCTATCCGTCGAGTTAATAACAAACTGCGGAAGGTCGCCACTTTAAAACAGTATCGAGCATTACTTCAGTGGCTGTCAAACGAGTTGGGGGAGAGAGTAAGAGGGATAGATCCTCCCCAAGATCTTTTTTTAATATTTATAAATCATGATAATGTATATTATAGAATGTTTATATATATATATGGTGGAGGATTGTCCTACCATACGCGACGTATGGGCCTCGCACGACATTCAGTTTAACGTATGTTTTTTCTACAATAAACACATTATAATCATTTATACCTATAAACTGWAGTTATACTAATTAACGTTTAATTGCTGCATTCATATTAATGTAACGATCCAACAAATTTGAAATTGGTGACGTAGAAAATTTTTAAACTCATCTCGTATTAAATTAGAATATTTATAAAATGGGTGAGGACAACAAAAATATAACTCAATTCTATAATATAATAGGTTCACCGGCAACATTTGAATCTGGAAACAACATAACAATATTTGAATCAAGACTTACACATTTTTTCGTTGCTAATAGAATAAATAACGAAGTCCAGAAGAGAGCTATACTACTATCTTCAATTAGTGAGGAAGTTCACAAAATATTATTCAGTTTATGCGTTCCAGCCAAACCAGACGTTCAGACATATGACACACTATTAGATTTGTTAAACAATTATTACAAGCCAGTGAAATCATACTTCGCATCAAGACACGCATTTTACAACGCAAAGCAGAAACCAAACGAAACTGTAGCTGAATGGGGAGCAAGAGTAAAGAATCTGGCATCAAAATGTAATTTTTCAACGAAATTACAAATTGTAATCCGTGACATTTTTGTTGTGGGTATGAACGCGGGACCAATTCAAGATTGATTACTAGAGGAAGATGCTTCAAAAATAAGCATCACGTATTCGCACCTTATGGAAATTTCTGCTGCAAGGATGGATAAAGGAAGAAGCTGACTTCAAATATAAAAAACAAAGTCAGGGAKCAAAATCAGCCAAGCTGTCAATCACGGAAAAATCAAAATGTGGAACATGCGGTCGATTAGACCACACACAAAATAATGCCGATACAAGGACTACAGTTGTAATATTTGGAATATCAGGTCATTTGGCACCTACGTGTAAAACTAAGAATAATAAACCAAAATATGATAACCGCTCACACAATAAATTCTTTTTCGAAAATTTATGTAATAGCTCGAATGAAAATATTCATGATGACGCAATCGCGTACAATTTATCTGACACTTTTTCCAATATGATTGAAAATAACTTTCGAAATAAAGTAAAAGCGTACATTATCAATGTATTAATTGAAAACAAAGATATAAAATTTAACTTTATTACCAAACAATATTTCACTACGCAATCACGTCGGAAATGACATAAGCCCAATAGAAAAAATAATAGTAAATGCTAAATATTTGAAAAAGTCTTTTAATACGTGTATTTACGTAATAAAAAACGGAGGACCGCCATTAATTGGTAGAAATTATTTAAAAATAATAAACTGTTCTCCCATTTATAAMACTGTAAATGTAGAAGAAAATATAGAGAACATATTAAAAAATTTCGAGTATTTGTCAAAATATGAAATTGGCACCCTTTAATAAATACCAAATATCGCTTAACATTAAAAAGGGGGCAATACCCAAGTTTTTCAAGCCAAGGTCAACGGTTAGGTTAAGGCAAAGGTGTGTGTGTGTGTGAGTGTCGGTCATAATATAATATACCATAATCTCGTACTAGCGTCAACAACTGCATTTTTCACACATTACGAATGTAATGTAAACATTTCAGTAAAATTRGCATATTTTTTTTTTGATTCTGAGCGGAGCGATGAATGCATTGATTTTACCATGATGTGTTTTTTTTTTGTCTGTCATCACGTTTTGGGGCAGTAAAAGTGCTTCAATTTTTGACTTCAGTACCTCGTTCGATCAGAAAGTGAATCTATAGTTGGTACTTTGGGTGGTCAAAAGTAAAAAATTCTAAGTACTTTTCTAAATAATCGAGAAAAACAGACTAAAAATTAAGGGRAAAACGGGAAATTTTACGCACAATCAGTTTTCGACAAAATMGATTTTGGTTTTTGATGTAACTTTAAAACAAATGAAGTATATTCTATCCACCATGCAATTTTCAAAAATTTTGACTTAAGTTGAACTATTCATAGGTATTTGTAATTTTAGGTCATTATTAGTTTTTTTTTAAATTAATATCGATAAAAATTTATTTGTTTGGCAGAAAAGCTGAAAATGTAATACAAGGTAATAAAATGTAATAAAATGTAATACAAGGCTCCTAACATATTTTTATAATAGCAGTTGAAAAATAAAAGAAATACATAATCACAATTTTTTTTACAACATTCAAATTTTAATTTTGACAACATACGTAAAAATCACGAAAATTCGCAAATTATTTTAAGCTAGAAAATTCATAAAAGTTTTTCTTTTTAAATCTTAGATTTTAAAAATTAAACACAAGTCTCCTAACATATTTTTACAATAGCAGGTGAAAAATAAAAGAAATATATTAGCACTATTTTTTTTTTGCAAGCATTCAAAGTTTAAATTTCGACAACATGTGTAAAAATCACGAAAATCACGAAAATTCGCAAATTATTTTATGCTAGAAATTCATAAAAAATGTTCCTTTTGTATCTAAGATTTGAAAATTTTTAATAATCCATAATATATCCTAGACAGATAAACCGTCTTCACTTAGAATCGTTTTTCATATACAATTCTGTAATAACATTGGATTCAGATTTAATTCCACCCATTACAGTATCCCACTTGTAACCTACTGTACAGCAGAGTGACATCCACGACTTACCCGCTTTTTTTCGTGGCCACATGCGAATTTTCAGAAGTTSTAGAATGCATTAAAATGCATCATATCATCGAGTTATTGGAATAAATTTTACGTGCTACGGCATAACATTTTCACAGAAATTCTCAAACATTTGCCCTGTCTCACTCAACGCCATGCAGGATCAACTAGTTTTTAATACTTATTAATTTATTGAACCACTCGCAAATAAATTATAATTGCATRTATTCTCGCATATTTGGTGATAATTTAGACATGGTTTTAATGTTCACTGTCTTACTACTACGTATACAATATAATACATCAAATAGACCGTACCAAATGTTGCTATATTTCCATAGTAATTAAATATTTAAATGTATTCAATACATACCTAACGCCATATTGGACGATGCTTTTTAAATGCAAAATATTGATGTGAAGGTAACTGTTATATTAGTATTAATATTAATATCGATATAAGTTCACTGCTGTTTAAACTATAATAGGATCACGTCGAGGTCACCAAAATGTGCGGGTCGGGAGCGAGCAGTAATGTTACGCGTGCGCGTCACCGTATATATTTCGTGTCCTAATATAGGTACTTACACACCGACCGATTTGTGTATATGTGTTATAGCTCAAATAGAATTGGTTGGGTTCGCCGCGCAAATACTAGCGAGCTATGTGGTGTGGTGGTGTGTTAGGTGTGAGTGTGTTTACAGATAATTAATAATAAAATGGTAACACGTTTCAGGTGGATAATTAGTTGCCGTATAATACACTATATCAACAATTATAAATTTACAAATATATAAAATCACAGCAACACAATAGTATAGTTGGAAATATAACATAATGAATAGCAGCCCTTGTGACTGAAACGAATATAATATAAATKAATGCGTGGCCCTTATGGCTAATCAGAATATAATGATCAAACTACGGCCCTTTTGACCAAACCGAATAAAATATATAAATTAGGTAGCTGTTAGAGCTGTAAGCTTGCATAGTGTCGGTCATAATATTATAATATACCATAATACCTAAACCAGCGTCAACAACTGCATTTTTCACACATTACATAACATTAATGTAAATATTAAATGTAAACATTTCAGTAATTGAGCCTATTTTTTTTTATTTTTTTTATATAACGTCGTAATCATCAAACATTTGTGACCATATGCGAATTTTCAGAAGTTCTAGAATGCATTAAAATGCATCATATCATCGAGTTATTGGGATAAATTTTACGTGCTACAGCATAACATTGTCACAGAAATTCTCAAACATTTGCTCTGTATCACTCGACGCCATGCAGGATCAACTGATTTTAATACTTATTAATTTATTGAACCACTCACAAATAAATTATAATTGCATATTTGCTAATAATTTAGACATGGTTTTAATGACCACTGTCCTACTACTACGTATACAATATGATACAACAAATGGACCGTACCGAGTGTTGCTATATTTCCATAGTAATTAAATATTTAAATGTATTCAATACATACCTAACGCCATATTAGACGATGCTTGTTAAATGCAAAATATTGATGTGAAGGTAAGGCGATACTGTTATATTATAAATACCATAGAACAGTATAGAACTTACTATCGAAGCGATACTGCTCGGTGGTCGATCTCTGGTGGTTTAGTGTTGAAGTTGTAAATGATTACCTGGTGGTTTAGGAGTGTTGTTACGAACGATTTTTTTTTCAACAAACGGTTTATTATTTGTTTACGTTTTAATCGTATAAGTTGTWATTAGGTTATAACCATAGAATATTATAGAAGCGACCCTCGCCTCTCCACTTKAATTGTTTTTATTTCGTGGCGGACTGATTGATGTTGCAAGCACGATTTAAGATATACAGGTTGCCCATCGACCTATACCGAAATGATTAAAGTATGAAGATGAGATTGACTCACAGCTGAGGAAAACGACGCTAGCGCCCCCTACTATCACAATTTAAATCTCGAACTAATTATCAGTTTATCACACTAAATATTTAATAATTTGAA